ATATGGTCCTCCCTTTCAGGGAGGGGAGTTTACTTCTGATGTTGCATTGGCTGATATGTGACCTCAATGTTGCCAGAAGTTTTGGGACCTATGGGAAAAAAGTAGTTTTACCCCAGTCTGCATTGGAGCTGTGGAGAGGATCTTTTTTGCTTGCCTGTACTTCTAAATTCTCTTTTTAGACAGTCATACTAAGGAGCTAAATCTGTTGTCATTATGCAGAATCGTCTTGCTGAGAATAAGGTATATCATGTCAATGCATTAGGAGATGAAGCTATTTGAATAGTTTAGGTTTCAGCTATTTCTCACCATTCAGAGATTGCAAAGAAGCCAGTTGCTTTAACCAGACCTGTGTTTCTGCTCAACATAGCAGAAACCTATGTTGAGCCTCCCTAGCTTGGGGCTTCTCCTGTTTCTGCTTTCCAGCTTGAGCTGTTACAGCACCTTGTTTCCCTCCTCTGACAAGACACAGGGTGGCACGTACCTGTCTGGTGTTTTAGTCCCAGCCTCGAGCACGCTGAGCTCAGAGGAGCTGTGGGGACACAAGGAGTGACTCAAGGCTGGTGCCTGCAGTGCTCTCCCCTGCTGCCCCTCGCACCTGCTGGGCTTTGAGGGCTCCTGTGGGTTTGCAGCTTTGCAGAGTGCCTGTGTCTCTCTTGCTACTTTGCTTGTCCAGATTCCCTCCACTAGTGTTGGCCCTGTGGTCTTTAAGGAAGGCTGTTTCTGGGGTATTTGCTTAATTGCTGATCATGAATGGTAAGATAATTTCCTTCTAATCAGGGATACAAACTGATAAGTTTGACTAATTATTACATTTTACTCAACATTGTCTACTTTTCAAGCGTGCAGCTAGATTTGTGTTTTGTTCTATTGACAAAATCAGTTTGTTGTTTTTTTTTTTTTTTTTTAACCAAAATGTGAGTAAAGTAAGAGCTTTAGTCATTTACTGTGGTATTTTTCATTACAAATAAGTAGAACACTTGCCCCCACGCCGCCTTTTAACAAATTTAAGCTGTCACCCATCTTTCTCGAGCATATAATGCTTGCTTCATACAAAATCAGTCTGGTTTTTATGAAAAAATATCTTCCCTATTTAACAGCTGTCCTCTGGATGTTAATTTTTTTTGTGCACTGAATGAATAGACACTCCCTCAGTACTTTTCACATCATTCTCTGTTTCTGATTGAATTGCTTCTGTCTACTGAACCTCATAGGGATTGAAAAAAATTTAAATATCAATTGCATTTTAAGTATATATAAAGTATTTGAATAAAAGCAAAAAAAAGTGTATGGAAATAAATAGAGGATACAATAGTTATGAAAGGAAATTTTTTCAAAAACTCTATTTTTCTTTTGAAGATTACAATGCAGTTTTAGCTTATTTTACTCAGATGTCTTATTTTCTATATGCTTTTTTTTAATACAGCAACTCTGGTTGTGTGCAATTCTCCCCATGTTCCTGTGAATCCCAAGCCTACAGACTGTATTTGGCTTTCATCCATTTTTTGGCATTCTGGAACTTCTTCAGTGCAAGTTCTCATATAAAAGGTTCTGCTTTGGCCCCTGGGGCCTGCAACACAATATTGGATGTGGAGGAAGTGGAGACCTGATATGGCCTATTCTTTGATCTGCTGGAACTGCTATTGACTTCTCATCCTTCTCCTGCCTGACAAACTACGGGGGATAGAGAGGAACCACTGAAACAGAGATAAGAAAGCAGGGATTTATAGTGTTCTAAACTCAAACATGCAGAAGTACAGGGGTACACACTTTATTAAAGACATTAACTGTACTAAATAAAGCAAACAAACAAACCAACCTGCACTTTCAGGAAAATAAAAGGAAAGGCTAAATAATTGATCAAGGGGGAAACCTATTAAACTGACTGTGTGCTCATCCTACATTGCTGCAAACAGCAGCAATCTTAGAAAACAGTTCCAGGATTGCTTGCTTGTCTTGCTAGAAGCTTTGTGTTCATAAACATTGTTGTAGCAGGTGAATGCAAATAAAATTGTTGTGTTCAACTGATTTTTTTATCCTGTTATATCTTGCTTTGCAAATAAATTAAACAGGAAATAGCTGGGATTTTAAGAAGTGCACATCTTTCTGCAAGAAACTAGACCATAAAGTCTTTGTAGTAATTGACCTGGTGACATAATTCAAATACCCAATGGTTCTTATGTCTTCTACCATACTTCACCAAAAACCTGAAAACAACACTCTTAAAGAGCAGCTACGGAAATGACTCATTTTCCCAGAACATTGTTTTTGGGTAAGCTAGTGGGACAGGGAGGTGAGAGACAGGAAAGATGCATGTATTGGGATTGCAGGACCAGGTTTCAGTAGCTGGGGTCTACAGGGGTGGCTTCTATGAAATCTGCCAGAAGCTTCCTGTATGTTGGACAGAGCCAATGCCAGCCAGCTCCAAGAAAGACCCATCATTAGCCAAGGCCAGGCCCATCAGCGATGGTGGTAGTGCCTCAGGCATAATGTAGTGAAGGGGTAAAAAGCCTACCCAAACAGCAGCTGCAGGAGAGCAGTGATTCCCCTGCCGCCTGTGAGGAAGACCCTGGTGAGACAGGTTGTCCCCCTGCAGCCGATGGAGGTCCAGGATGGCACAGAGAACCACCTGCAGCCTTTAGAGCACCTCACACTGGAGCAGATGGATGCCCAGAGGAGGCTGTGAGTCCATGGGAAGCCCATGCTGGAGTAGGCTCCTGGCAGGATTTGTGATTTGTGGGGGACCCAAGCTGAAGCAGTCTGCTCCTGAAGGACTGCACCCCACTGAGGGACCAGTGCTGGAGAAGTCTGTGAGGAACTGCAGACCATGAGAAGGACACACAGTGGAGAAGTATGTGGAGAACTCTCTCCCATGGGATCCCACCATGGAGCAGGGGAAGATTGTGAGGAGTCCTCCCTCTGAGGAGGAGGGAGCAGCAGACACAATGTATGATGAACTGACCACAACACCTGTGCTCTGTCACCCTGTGCTGCTGAAGAGGATGGAATAAAAAATTGTGAGTGAAATTAAACCTAGGAAGAGATGTGGGGGAGGTGTTAAAGATTTGGTTTTATTTTTCATTATCCTCCTCTGATTTGATTGTCAATAAATTAAGCTGAGTTCCCCAATCAAATGATTTTGCCTATGAAAGTAGTGGATGAGTGATTTCTCCTTCTCCTTATCTCAATCTATGAGTCTTTAATTCTATTTTCTCTCCCCTGTACAGCTGAGGGGGAGAGAGGTACCTGGTGTCCAGCCAGGATCAACCCACTACCACAGTAATGTACTTGAGTAGAGTTCCATCTGAAAAGTATTTTCAAGTTTGTTTTCTTTATGGAGTTTTGGCAAAACATATTTTATATTTGAGAGATGTTAGTACATTTGTTTTACCTTTCTAAGGGGAAAAACCATTCTGAAACATTTTAGGGTAGCATGTGTGAAAGACTGAAATGTTAAGGCAGCTGCTGTACATTGTTTATGTACCTGCTTTTATGACTTTTGGCAAACCTGAAAAAAATGTTCTTTAAATAATTTCTTCAGGCTTAAACCCAGCTCTATTTTCATCCATGGCCAACTTTTCTTCCTAAGGAAATTAAATTGAAAATATTCATTGTCATCTTCATTGCCATGGTTGATGGTTAAAATGTCCACTGATGTTCATTTCCCAGAGAATGCCTGGACACCTCCAAAAGCACGTGAAAGCACAGGAAAGTGTGCTAGCTAGCTCTAGCTCTTGTCAGGGCCTTGCTACCCAGGATTTGGACCTCTCCCTGGACACAAACCCCTCCTTTCTGCTGCTGCTGCCCAAACCAAGGGTAACCCTGGGGAGAAGTGTGTCACTCAAACCTTCTTGACAAGACCCGTGGCTGCAAAGTGTCAGCTCTGGGCACTGGTTTTGGAGGACCTGCAAGGCATCACAGGTGCTGCTAGGATTGCCATATATCAGAGAAAAGGTAAGATGTCCCCTACTACAGGTTTTAATCCCATGCACTTTATGAAAACATATGGGACATAGCTTTCCTTGTGCTTTTGCATATAAGGCATCTGAAAAAGGAGTTTTTATACATCTGGAGCTGGCTGGCCCTATGCTACTTATACAAATTTTTTTTTGTGCCCATGATTGAACTGTGTGCTGGCAGTAATGGCTCTTCCAGCCTTTTATGGTAAATCACACAACCAATAGGGACTTCCCCAGATGGGATATAAATATCAATGTTGCAAGAGAGCAGGTATTTATTTGCTATAAATTCACTGCTCCAAGAGATTGGAGAAAGGCAGCCATTGATTTCCCAGCTTAAAGCCATTCATCACAAGATTTCTGTGGTTTTGAGAATCTCAAAATCCAGTTAGTGTCCAGGGTGAGTCTGGATATTTTGGAGGCACCTGGTCTTGACAAAAGACAAAAATCCTGGTGAGATTTTCTAAATTCGTCTTACTTGATGTCAGACATGACACAAAGTGAGTATTTTAATCAGGCAGAGTAATTGAAGTAATTGGAAGAGGGACAGAGGTGATGTGGAAGAGCCAGCAGGTTTTGCAGTGACTCAACTGTATTTGTAATTCATTTGCCATTATTGTATGTAATCTTATTCTATTTATTTCTGCATTTTTATTCAAGTTTCATATTTGTGATTACTTCAACTCCTCACAACCAGCCTTTGACCTGTTCAACTGGCATTAGCCACATCTAGGAATGCAATCAGTTTAATGATGTTTAAGGAGTTCCTATAAGGGACCGGCACACCACACGTTTTGCTCACAAAGCCCTCTCCTCCCTGGGATGAGCAGAGCAGTTCTCTTTGGCTCACATGGACATGCAGGGGAAGAAGACCCTCAGTGTGTTGGTGCCCATTCCCACCCCCAGCTCCCCACACCATATGAAAGTGTGACAAGTGAGAGAGAGATTTGAGAAATACCAGAAAGAAGGTGAGGTAACTGTAATTCAATTGTGAGACATAATTAAAAAAAACCCGAAAAACTATATCTCAAAGGGAACTATTAATTCTGGTGCTCATAAATGGTTTATTTTCATTTTCCTGTATAAAACATAACTTGCTTAATTTTTCATTGTCTTTTCCAGCTCCATGTGAAATCCACAGCCAGTAATTGTTCCTCATTTCCTTCTGTCAAACAGGTGGCATACTGAACAATTAAGGTTTCTGTTTATAATAAGCTACAATGTCTAAAAGAAGAGAAAAAGGCTTTATTTTAAAATAATCTGGTAAATCAGAGGACAGTCTGCTGTCTCATAGAAACCAGGCCTTACTTTGCAATAAAGTAAAAGTTTTCTCTTTTTTAGGACAATGAAATAAATTTTACCACTCACCACTTCTGATTTTCAGCATTTGCAATTGCTGGGGAAGGTAATCTACTTTCTAATGTCCTAACCTGAGATGATCAATGGTATAGCACTATCTAAGAGGGTTTTCCTTACTATTAGAGATCCTGTCCTCAAAGAATACAACCTCCTCTCAGTGAAGCCAGTCTCAGTCAGTAGTGCCCCAGTTCAGACTGTGTGCCACTCCAAAACCAATTATAAAGCTGTTACCAGGAGACAGACAATGAAAAAACCCTGCACATGTACTGGTGATTCTCTGCACCTCAGCTCACTTTGTAGGGCTAGCTGATTCAAAACCAGCCCACACATAATCTGAAAAAGCAATTTTTACTTGTTGTTGATTTAAAGTCTTAAGCATCTGAACACAGCAGTAACAATTGAAATGAAATTATAATGTATGATATATAGGAAATAATATTGCTGATTAGAGAACAGATTAGTCCAAAATATGTTTTTCAACTCAACTATGAACATTTGGAGACATGTTTTCCTCTCAATTTGAGCATGAAAAGGGGAAAAATTACTAAACTTGAAGTAACCTTGTATGAATGGCAAATGACATGCAAGTGAAACATGCTGCAATAAATAAATATACAATTTGTGGTCTATAATTTTCCATTGCATTAATTTGTCTGAATGTATTTAGAGCACTAATTTAGACTGGGAATTAAGGCTGTTCATGGCAACTGCTGCATGTTGATGGAAGTATCGTTTCATGTGCTGTATTTTAAAAACATGTCATTGACTTTTTAAAACTGCTTCAAAATTAAATGCACAAAATTACTTTAGCAAAATGTTTTGCCATACAATTGAAACATAAAAGATGAGAAATTTAAGGTCTCACATATTTCTGCAAAATTTTTAATTTTTCCAAGAGCAATTTAATTGACCTGTAATTACTTTTATAGAAAGACACTATCAGATGTAGTAAAAAAATCTTATTTAATCTTTCTTTGTCACTATTTTCAGTTTGAAATTCTAAATTTATTAATATATGCACAAATTTATTTTTGGCATTTTAACTTTTCAAAACCTAATTAAACCATACTATGGTTATAGAATAAGAGCAGAGTCTCAGGAAACTCCGTGAGAGCTCTGATTCAATGTCTTATTCCTGGGAGAACATACTGAAATTGCAGATTTTCCTTCGTAGTGCCCATGGACTGCTTCTGGGTGAGAGAATTCTTGGCCTGTGCACCTATATGTGGGCAGCCTTTGTTCTACCATTTCATTGCCCATTTCATCATGAGCGATCCCAGCACCTTTGCAAAATCACTGTCCTCTTGGAGAGGACATTGTTAATTCCAGTTTTATCCACATCAAGGATGGATAGCACAAAACTGAGTCAAATTTTGCCAGTGTCCCGGGTGTCCAGAGGAATCAGTGGAAACAAATGATCACTTCCTACCAGGATACCTACCTCAAGAACTGTTGCTCAGCCTCAGGAGAAGACAGACATGTTTTGCCTGCTCCTAGAAATAAGTAGTAGTGAGGAAGGAGAGGGGAGGCAGATAGCAGATGTTTGTTCCTGCAGTTCTTGGTGGTGGAAACCAATAAGCTCCAAACATTATCCACAGTGCCAAGGGGAAGCTGGGATTGTCTTCAAAGAGAAAAGCAAGAGGGTGGGTATTTGAGAAGACAGAAGGAAACAGCACAAGCAGTAGGGGAAGAAAGCAAATAATGGTAATAATAACCCTCAAAATGAAATGTCAATAGTTGTAGAATTGAATCCTGATCCTAAAGGAACAGGTAAGGCTTTAGCACAGTTAAAATTTTCATTTTACTGGGAGAGAAGAGTGGAATGAAATAAGTAAATTTCATTAAATACAGAGAGAAGTTTTATCCTGCATTTTCAATTGTTGACTCTGAAGTGGTGCTCAGAAGAAAGGAAAATCTGAATAAGTCTGTGAAACCTTCTTGAATACAAAGATCCTCTTTCTAATTGAAAATCATCATGGCAAAGCTTCTGGCTGGCAGGCAACTCTTGGAAAAGTAGCCACTGAATCTGAGTGCCACTGTTCTTGATTGCCTCTTCTGATATGCTTTACAATGTGCAATAAAAATAAATACATAACTGGGCAGGACTGATGAGTAGATCCACAAGCTGCAATTTTATGACCATTACACTGTTTGTAAAGACAATGTTTGAAATTGTTTTCCCTTATATACAGGTACTACCTTAAAAGAGAGAAATGCAGAGATTGTTGTAAACAATTAACAAATATGCAATTTAGCAGAGATATTATCCTTCATCCTAAAGATGTGCTCAATTTTTTTTTAGTGGTAAATTATCTTATATTTCCCTGCTCTTTTTACACTGAAAAGCGTTTAAAGTTACATGAGCCTGTTTAAAAAGTTGTTTGATTATAGCAAGAAGGAGAACTTAGACAAGTGCTTTGAAAATGCTTAGAAATGAATAATCACTTCAGACAGATTAAACTCTTATATTTGCCTCCTACACTTAGACAAATAAAAAAATACTATAAAATTCCTTCCACAAACTGCATTTTAAAAACATTTGGAGCTCTCATGAGCCATGATATTCCAGTGGAAATGCTGTTGCAAAAGTTCCATTTTGTTTAGATATTCTTTATAATCCTTAGATCTGTGTTTAGATTGTCCTTCTAATTTCTAGAATCCAAGTAATTAATACTTGTTTTTGTGTCTTTTTTATTTTTTTGTGACTTGATAGTTCTGTTCCCTTCCTGCAGTTAATAACTGAGTTACATCCTTTCTAGTCCTTTGTTTTAATAACCAAACCAAATTTTATCTGATATGACAACCTGGCCTTCCCCAGTCATTCAGGCAGTTTCCTCTGCATCTACCTGGTTTAAAAGTGGTGGTGCTGAGGACCCAGTGCCAACATATTTAGGAGATTTTGGACTTCACTTAGTCTCTTTCTGTGAGCTGAATGCCTGTTAGCAGTCAGGGCACGTTCAATGTGCCTTTTGAGTCTACCTTCCAGTTTGGTTTCTCCTCTGGGAACCAGGTCTGTGCTCTTTGACCTGTCTGTGGTGTGAAGCAAGGCACAGTCAGCAATGATACACTTAAAAAACACCTGTCTTGTCCAGACCGAAATGTTTTTGTAGACAATCCCTGATAGCCTCACTGGACGTTCTTGAGGAACTGAGATTTAGTACTCTGTTTTTTTCCAAAAGTCTTCAGTCTGTGTACTGAGTCACATGTGATAATTTTTTGTTGCCCTCCACAGCTATCCATTATAATGAGCAATTGGGATTTTTTAGTGGAGAAGAGAATGGAGAGGTTGCCATAGGAGATTTAAAAGTATGCCACTTCTTAGCCCAAATGTCTTGATATTCTATTTTTCCCATAGGATAAATCAATTAATAGAAAATTATTTTTTAATAGGAAACAATTTTAAAATGCAAGTATTAAAAGGGGTGATAATTTAGACACTTCAAATAAACAGGCTTCTCACTTTTTGTTTTAACAGTTTCTTTAATGTTTTTTGGTTCTTTTTTTTTGTTTGGCTATTCCAAAATGGCATGATTTCACTTGTGTGTTGAAAGGCACATTAACTAAGCGAGGGGAAAAAAAGGAGCTATATATAGCTTTACTGTCCCTTTAGGGAGTCATTGCTTGAGCTTCATTAATATGCATTTTAGCACAATCTAATTTACTCATATGGCTGGCCCCAGGTGTTTGGAAAGGCAACCAGAGGAAAATCAGATCATACTAAAATTAGAGGCAAGAAATATTGAATGCCTTCCCTTTTAGGTCCTTGAAAGGCACATATTAATTATAACTGGATGAATTTATGAAAACCAATACTGTGAACAGCTCTAATAGCAATTATTTTTGAAAAATTATCTTTACCGATAAGTGTATTGTGGTCAAAGTGCAGAGAAAATGTTCTATTAAAGAACATATGTATATATTTTCCTGTTCAAACATTAAATTTTTGGTGCAGTGTCCCTGTGGCATCCTTCTGATATATAGTTAATCACTGAAAATGACAATGAAAACCCTTATTTTGTGTATGCCATCTTTTGAATGGTTTCAAATGAGGCATCAGAATTTGATGGATTTGGCAATTTTTTCTAAGAATAATTTTTTGCTGGGTTAAAAAACACCAAGGCCAGCAACACTGAAAAGTGAGATGTGGGGAAAAAAGGTTAAAAAAATATCTCTGTGTGGTCTGATTAAAAGCTTCATTCTTTCATGATGTTAGTAGGAAGCTTTGGCAACCAAGTGTTCCCAGCTGGTCTCTGAGCTGCTAACAGGATGTAGTGGGTCAATAAAGGGGCTTTATATATTAATTTCCTAAGTGTCATCTTGATTTGCAGCAGCAAGTGTAAGCAAAACAATATCAAACACATCAGCCCCGAAGGTGCCTTTGGAGCAACACTCGTTGCTCTGCCCTTGCCCGGGTGCTCCAAACACTTCAGCTGGGGAGGTGCTTGCCTGGGGAAGAGACTATTTCAGAATCAGTCTTTAGGGGTTGAGCAGCATAAATTACAGTGGTAGCAGGCTACTGGGGAATGCATATGTTATGAAAACACTTAGTCATCTCTAGTGAGATTGTGATCTGAAATATCTGACCTTCCTATGATTCAAAAATAGTGAGACTCCAGCACAAAGGACAGTCACCACATGTGAAGCAGCACAGGGGCCTCCATGACCTGTGCTTGGAGAAGCAATGCTGACTAACAGAGCTGCTCCTCCCTGCCATTCCCACCCAGGAGACAGTCTGTAAGGCTTCAGAGGAGCTCAGTTCTCTCCAGGATTCATGTATCTCACCACAGGGTATTCTAAAGAGTTTAATTTCTCTAGACAGGAGTTTGGTAAGATACCCTGTTATTTCAGCTTGGACACAAATTTACTAACCTGAAAAGGAGTGCAGTTCTGTTTCAAGCAGGGTGTGATTTCAGCAGATACTCCACTGAAGTGTACTCACATCTCTGGATGTTTGTCAGGCATACTGTTCATTACACCTCAGTGGAGCACTATGGACAAATGCTACTTTGATGTGATAAGCAGGGTGACATTAAAGGTGAATACTAGAGTTCACTATTAAGAAGGAACTTAAAATGTACTTACAGAAAGGAATAGAGTCTCCACAGAGAGTGTCATTTAAGAATAGTCCATCTAAAGAACATTCCCCTAAAGCAAAACATCAAAGAGAGGATAAGGAATATGTTTTAGGCTGCAATTCTGGAAAGAAATCAAAGTCATATGAATTTCATTAAATCACCAAGGAGTTTAAGAAGTAGATTGGAAATACACATGAAAAATATTGCAGTAAATAAAAAATAAAATATCCAGTGACCAGAGAAAAATAGAGAAAAGAAGGTGATGAAAAGATGATTATTCTGAACTAGCTTAGGGAAAGAAATATCCTAGTAGATGGAGAACATACATATGGGAAGCAGTTTTTGGTCCTATCTGACCACAAACTCAAACAAAGTCTATTCCCAGAACCAACCTATATATAAATATGATCCTTCAACCTTGACAAAATAATAGGACCTTATAAAAAAAATTGTTGAATCCATTTCCTGTCTATATGCATCGTTCCTCCTAGACTAAGGCAATGAGCTCATTTACAGGAATGAGAACATTGCCTTTAATAGTTTAACTACCTGTTGGCAAAAGTACATGCTTTTGCAATATGTCAACAAACCACCCTTCTCCAAGTGTGTCAGCAACATTGCTGCATTAGTAGGAATGACCACAAATTTTAACGAGATGGAGATTTGGTCTGCCCTGGCACTCCAGCATCCACCGACACAGAACTGCAACCCCTGGCCACGTGTGCAGGATAAACTGACTTGTGGAGTTAAAAACACAGCCATGAAGAGGACACACAGAGGGAAATGTAGCATCCTGGTGCCAGAATGTGCCATGGTCAGAGACCAGGCTCTTGGCAAAAGGAGTTGAATTAGGCCAGGGCCTTGCTAAGTACCTTTCCACAATGGCAGCAAACCTAGAGTGAAGCCCTCCCCCTCAGTCAGCAGCTGTCCCATCTCTACAGCTGGACTGAAGCTTGTGGCTAGGGAAAATGCAAGGCAGGCGAAAAAGAAGGAATGTAGGGGTAAAGAGAGATTGGACTGGGGCTAGAAATAATGGCTGAGGTGTCATGTGACAATTAGTGCTTCTATCCCAGGAAGACATAATATACTTGAGCAATGCCAATTATGTCTACTCCACAAGACTTTTTGATGAATAAAGCCACAGAAGAACAAGGGTATACTTAAAAGTATATTCTGTGTGCCTTCATTAATATGGTGCCACTGATATACGTATTTTTGTACAAAAAATTACATCCACTAACAAGATCCACTTTTACCTAAGAGTGTGACAGATAATGGCTCAATGAGTTGCAGAGAAAAATACCTGGATGTATCAGGTATGAATCTATACTTACACTATCCTTTGGTAAATGGTTAAGTGTATGTAACCCTGAACACTGTAGTTTTACCTAAGGATGCACCATCAATGTGGAACTCAAAAACAGGTATATTCAAGGAGATCCTGGTATGTACAGTAGGCAATTTTGGTTTCCATTCATTCGGACAGTGGAACTCATGAAGAATCTAAAAGAGGAGCTGCCTCTTGAGCACTTGGGATACGTG